AGTCATTCTTTGTTTTATTATATATCTTGAGAGGAAGTTGTAATGAAATTACAGAGGTGTGAGGTTGTCATTTGTCAGTGGTATAACTGCAAAGCACTTAGGACAACAACAGTAAAAAAAAAACTATAGCAACTTGCTTTTGATAACTGCATTGTATTCAGTCATTTGGGTTTAACTTTTTAAAACAAATATGTAAGCTTGCATGGGCATCTATAAATATCTACATAATTATATAAGTTTACCCTATGTGGCTAGATATTTGCAAGTAAAACAATTGCTTACATGGGAGCCTGAATTTTTTTTTTAATGTGATGAATTGTTACCTTTTTTTGGAAAAAGGAATTCACTGATGGACATTCTTTTGTTATTTAGTTATCAGTTACTTTCTACATATGCCAATTTAATAAATATTTTTAGAGGCCTTCCATTGATTTGGCTTTATGTATATGCTGCAAAAAAGCCAGCTTTCACAAGTAGCAATAATTTCACTGCCTTATTTATTCCTAAAGAGCAGTGCAATGTTGCAGCATGATCTCAAGAGACAGCTTACTGATGATCATTACTGCAAAGTAACTCTAGAACCACAAAGGTCCAACAGGATTAAGCTGATCCTGTTAAGGCAAAAAATATGCAGTTTCCTATAATGTTTGTAAATAATTGAAAACATAATGGAAAGATAAAATATGTAGAACAATCACATCATTTTAAAAATGAACTAAACCAAAAGATTTTAGTTTTAATACTCAAAGTAAAAAAAAATAAAAATAAAAGATTGAATGTACACATGCATGCAAACTGTGGGTGTTTCATGTGAATATATTCAGGAGGGTTCCCTATGGATAATGAACACTGAATGGGTATATTATTATTCATGATTCAGATCTCAGATATCATCCACAAATTGGTAGTTTGAAAGTCACTAATGAAATAAAAACAATAAACAAAATCATTAGGACACTTTCATGACCTGCAGTGATCTTGAGCAAGATCGGTGACACAGAATTAATCTTTAATCATTCCTAATGTGCTCTTACATATTTAATGTACACTCTAGTTACTGGTCTTCCCAAAGGGAGTCCTCTATTCCTTTTATTGTTGCTCTTTTAGGCAAGGATATAACTTGTGCTTATGAGAAAGCCAAATTATTTAATACATTGAACTTTCTTTTATACAGCACAATTAATGTAAGCATTTATCCTCTTTTGATTGTGCCTTTGGAATCACATAACATAAAATAAGCATGAAGGCTTTCATAAGTGCAAGACTTTGATTACAGAGCAGATGTTTCAGGTTCCTTTTCTTTTATGGAAAATTTGGCTACTGTAATAATATGATCCTGTTCTAATTACTAATTATTTCAGCTTTAGAAATGTCTAATACTCTTTCTAAGACTTTTCAAAATTATATTTTTTTCTTGAAATTATAAAGCCTTTAGTAAGACAGCGTAAAACAAGTTTTATTTTACTGTACATGAAAAGTTAGATTTTGACAGATACAGAAAAATAATAACTCTGACATGAAATTGTTGTAGAATACTTTGCAAATATCAGTATCTTAAAATGCTGATTTTGACCAAAAAGATTATCATTTTATTTACCACTAGTGTGCATAGACAGCATTCTTTTCACAAGGGTGGTGTCTAACTCTAGGGTTTCTTGATGTTGAATATTTTTTCGTTAAGGGGTATGAATGTAAAAGCAAGAATTGCTACAATCACAACTTTCCTTTCTTTCCTGGTGAGCACCAAGCTCTCGAAAATCCTAGAAACATTTTTTGAACTACAGGGATTATGATGAGGTTCAAATAAGTGTTACTAGGATTTGGCAGAGCTTGGTGCATACTAGAAAAGACAGCATTATCCACAGTAAGTCCTGTTTTTATGTTCATGTTTCATAATGGAAAGAATCCAACATCTACATTTCAGAGTCATCTATTTCAATTCCACCATTATGAGGAATCGTCTAGGAAAGCTGCTTAGGCCACAAGTTGAAGACAGTCTCCTCACTCTGGATACCATATCACATGTTTGTTTGGCTGATATTTTGTTAAAACCAAATGATGTGTACCTTCTTTGGTAATAAACAAAACTTAATAAAGTGATTTATAAAGAATAGTTTACTTTGTATACTAGATACATTGACAATGCAGAAAAAGCACACCCTGAAGACACTGGCTTCATTGGTATCCTGTAATATTTTTACTTTTACAGTGGTGGGTAGACTATTTTGCATGCATTATATTCTCTAGCCTACTCTTATGTTTAGGTATGGTCATTATAGCAGCAGGATTAAAAGTAGTTGGAATTGATGTCTACTATTCAAACAGTTACCCATAAAATACATTCTTCCAAATTCATACTAATAAAAAGTAAAACATTTAATGCGCAGTTTTATAGCAAAAGTCACTCAGGTTTTCATATTCATAGGCTCCATGCATGAGCATTTCATATGAAATATCACTCATTTCTATTTGTACGTTCAGCTTGAAAGCTTCTGCTCATTACTGCTCTATCCAAAATATTCTAGCAATTTGTAGAACAACGGGAACCATCAGATGTTATACGCACCTTTCTATAGCTATCACAGTCTGCTTAAACTAACAATGCAAATTGTTAAGAATCCTGCTGACATGTCTACCGTTATATTTGGGGAAAATCTGTCAGAACACTTACTTTTCAAAGACAAAAGATTGAAAATAAGAAGCACTTTATCCTTTGATCTGATATTCCTGTTCAAATGTATGTTATTTTAAAGCACAACAAGTTTATTTTAAGTGGCAGATCAGGAAAACGTATGTCTTTTTTTTGTTTTGCCGCTTTATGTATTCACAATCTACTTTTTTTACTTTGAAGAAGATGGGAAAAAGAAAGAAGGGCAAAGCGAGCAAGCTAATTTAATGAAAACAGCCATAGAACATTGGCATTGTCTGTTCACATGTCATTATGATGGAAAACTTTAAGTGTACCTTTCTCCCTTACGATCCAAAGGAGGACTCTAATGAGTATGAGTAACACATTCATTTCCATGCCTATCTTTGTAAAGAGCATTTGTGATACAGTGCTAACACTATAAAGAAAATATACATAGCTTTATGCAACACTTTTTTTTATAAAAAATACTAAAATCATGTTATCCAAAGTAACTGCTTGAAAAAAAACAAGATTTCCTACTGACTTGGTCAGTCAGGCAGACAAAACACCTTCAGTCTTTGCTCTAAACATGTATGTAGATAAACCATGCTGTGCAAGAACATTGCTAAAAGATGTACATTTCATGTCCATTTGGCTAACCTTCATTCTACTCAGTTATCAAATTAGAGTTAGTAAAACTGTTTCTTCGTTTATATGCTCTGATGTAGATTAAAAAAACTTTTTAATAGGTCAGTGTAAAATATGACATCCAATGTACTATTTGTCAAAAAAGGACAGATCTTGGGTGATATTTACCCATATCCTCATTGACTGAATAGGAAAAAGCTCTGCTGAATGGGTCATTCTCAAAATCTCTTTCATTTACACTGAGGACTACCATTATCACTGAGTGACAGCCACTATACTTTTTTAACTTCTACAGTCAGGGCCATATTTGCTTTAAAGTACATGTGGTCCAGGGATGGTGGGCAACACTAAAGCACAATCTTTTAAAATTGGTATTTACTTTGTTCAACTTCAAATACTTGTGGGTAAATTCACCAAAACATCTGAAGAGGGTGGTGCAGTGCTGCTGAGAAAAGTAAAAACATAAAGGTTTGAAGCAGTTAAATACAGTCATCTATTCTTTCTTTTCAAATTTTCAAACATACTCTGTAAAAGTGATTGGATGCTTTATGTTAAAGTGAGCAAATTCTTGCCCAAAAAAAGCAATACAAACTTACGTGTGCTGATGCCAGCAGAGCAACAGTTTTTGAAAATCCAGGCTTTATGAAGAATGTTCAGTATTCATCAGTTTTGGCAACTCAGATGATGGATAATTCCATCAAACTCTGTTTTCCCTGGTCAGTACCTAGACCTGTGCAGAGTAGAAAAAATCAGAGAGTGCAATGTGGAACCAGGCATCCAAAACATTCAGAAGTGTGCCAGGTGCTCAAGATCTTTCAGCAAGTTTAGGCAGAATGTGGCAATACAAGCAGACAGACGTCCATTGCTTTCCTTGCAGTGAGCTGCTTATTTCATTTCTTTAAATAGCAACAGAGCCATCTTAAAATAGGTCCACATACAACTCTTGTCCGTGCATTTTACAATTTCATGACAAAATCCATATATAATAACTGGGACAAGGGGAAGGGGTTTGTGTAGTGTATTATCAGTAATTTGTGACTATAGAAGCCTGGTAATAATATCAGATTTTCTCTCTACCACATTTGAATTGGTATGATTCATTAGTATCCCACCTGTATCACTGGCCTCACATTCTTCACATTTCTGCATTTTCCTGCAAAGAAAACATTTGGCACAGTTTTTTTTATTATTCTTGTACATTCAAGTATGATTCGGGTCTAAGGATAAGCTTTGCACTTGGATTAAACATGAGTTTGACTTTAATTCAGCCTGTTTGCAGTTTGGTGAATATTTAGCCAGTTTGTGTGCCCACCTGAACATCCATCTCAATATCCTATTATTTAAAATAAACCTGCTACTTTTCCTATTTTATGAGAAAGACAATGAGATCACTAGCGTTTCACTTCTTCTTTCCCTGTCCAGTCAGGGGAATGGGAGGAGACCTGTAAATAAAAATAAACAATGCATGGAAAAATCAAGTCCCCTGCCTTTCGTGTCAGACAAGACTGTAGTATGCATCAAAGTCAAGAAAATCTCAGGACTGGATGTAGATAAATACAAACATTTTTGACAAGATATATATATATATATATATATATATATATATATATACATATATACACACACACACACTATATTCCAGAAGTATTAGGACACCTCTCCAACTCATTGGATTCAGGTGGTCCGATCACCTCCGTGGCCACAGGTGTGTAAAGTCAAGCACCTAGGCATGCAGACTGCTTCTACAAACATTTGTGAAAGAATGGCTCGCTCTGAGGAACTCAGTGAATTCAAGCATGGTACTGTGATAGGTTGCCACCTGTGCAATAAATCCATTCATAAACTTTCCTTGCTACTAAATATTCCATCGTCAACTGTTAGTGGAATTATAATAAAGTGTAAGAAACTGGGTACTACAGCAACTCAGCCATACTGAAGCACACAGTGCTCAGAAGTCGTCAACTGTCTGCAGAGTTAATAGCTAAAGACCCACAAACTTCATGCGGCCTTCTAATTAGCAACAGTGTGCAGAGTATAATAATATATAATAACTCCTGCGCTATTACACAGTCAAACACTAAGCAGCCAGCACTCAAGTGCCACAACCTAGGCACCAAACACAGTCAAAATAAGAATCTATTAGTAGTGCAGCGCTACAAATTTATGTACAATAAAATAATAATAGAGACATATGTCCTGGATGGGAGTAGTTCTAGATAGGAGATTCAATAAGTGCTATACCAATATATTGTGCCCATTGCAGGAATTTGATCCATAACCGGGGGTCCAAATGGATCTTCCTGATGAGATCACAAGCCCCAAGAGGTCTGAACATGGAGTTCGACCTCAATTGCTTCATCAGAGATTTTTAGGCTTTTTCCCCTGGAACAATGGTATATAAATGTCAGTCTATGTATGAAGACCTACCTAGGAGTATATATACTATAAGATTTTGCAGATATAATGTTTTTGTTATCTAGTATTCATTGTCTGGTGGTATATTTGAAAATGTATAAACATATTTTATTTAATTTATTTATCTACTATCAAGTATAGATCTGGTTTATTCTAAGATATGTTTTAGTTTAAGATGTATTATTGATTTTATTTGTGACATCACACTATTGGTGTATTTTGCAAATAGTGGTATCCCTCATATAATTACATAGGGGTATGTTTGTTTTTGCAATATATATTATGCCCTTATATGTGCATTTTATCTACACATATATTTTATATTTTATCATTTTAAATCTAATAAAGTTATGGTTTTAGTTTATTGGGGAGGGATCACTATTTATACATACTGCGATTACCCTCCAATATCTTACCATAAGTAATATTGGACATCTAGGCACTCACATTAATATAGGGATACACATGTTATCCCAGCACCTTATTTTCATTCAATGGATGTCCCTAAGTCGCAGAGTCAGTATGAACTACAATATCATGGCCACTTTGTCACCGCCCCCCAGACATGTAATTGACTGGAAGGAGAGATAAATAGTGCTCCGGCCCATGGTAGGTGTATATCCTGAGGAAGTCACGTGCACCAATCGTGACGTAATGCGTAGATACACCAGTAGGAGGGGCCCGAGCGGTTAACGTAGTGATGTCATATCCGGTATGGGCGCCATCTTGGTGCACCCCAGCATTGCCCACACATGCAGTACACCCATAGTGTGGTGAAAACATCTGATGATATATGAGTAAGCATTTTAGCTTTGGCATTTTTTAATAAATTATTTTACACTATATTGGATCTCTTTGCTTCACTGGGGATGTATATGGAGTGATACCCGTCCTAGTATCAGGAGGCAACGTCTGGATACCAAAACACCAGAGGAGGAGAGAGTCCCACCATTACTGTTAAGGAGGATTCCACCCTTTGGAGGATTATAAAGAGGCATATCTAGCTCATTGGTCCTGAGGGGCCTGGGCAGGAAGGTTAGGGGGCACCCCTGTCGTGGTGGATTAACACACAGTTTGGAGCACTTGCATGAAGAGTGTTTTTGTTGTTTCACCTAATAGGACACTTATTTATCTTTAACTGTATGTGTCACTGGGAGTGACCCCCGGTTGTACATGAGGTTCAAATTTCTGCAATGGGCACAATATATTGGTATAGCACTTATTGAATCTCCTATCTAGAACTATTCCCATCCAGGACATATGTCTCTATTAATTTTTTATATGTACATGAATTTGTAGCGCTGCACTACTAACAGATTCTTATTTAAACAATGTGCAGAGAGCTTCTTGGAAAGGGTTTCCATGGCCGAGCAGCTGTATCCAAGCCTTACATCACCAAGTACAATGCAAAGCGTCAGATGCAGTGGTGTAAAGCACGCTGCCACTGGACTCTAGAGCAGTGGAGACATGTTCTCTGGAGTGACAAATCACATTTCTTTGTCTGGAAATCCAATGGATGTGTCTGGGTTTGGCAGTTGCCAGGAGAATGGTACTTGCCTGACTGCATTGTGCCCAGTGTAAAGTTTGGTGGAGGGGGGATTATGGTGTGGGGTTGTTTTATAGGGGTTGGGCTTGGCCCCTTTGTTCCAGTGAAGGGAACTCTTAAAGCATCAGCATACCAAGACATTTTGGACAATTTCATGCTCCTAATCTTGTAGGAACAGTTTATGGATTTGTATTCCAACATGACTATGCACCAGTGCACAAAGCAAGGTCCATAAAAACATGGATGGGTGAGTTTGGGGTGAAGTCCTGACCTAAATCTGACAGAACACCTTTAGGATGAATTAGAGTGGAGACTGCGAACCAAGCCTTCTTGTCCGACATCAGTGCCTGGCCTTACATCTGGAAGTATGGTCAAACATCCCCATAGACACACTCTTAAACCTTGTGGACAGGCATCCCAGAAAAGTTGAAGCTGTTATAGCTGCAAATGGTGGGCCAACTCAATACTGAACCTTATGGACTAAGACTGGGATGCCATTAAAGTTCATGTGTGTGTAAAGGCAGGCGTCCAAATACTTTTGGCAATATAGTCTGTGTGTGTGTATGTATATATATATAATGTGGGGGTTGTTTAACTCACATGTAGAGCTCACCAGCATTATACTTACCTGCTCTGTGCAATAGACTTGCAAGGAACGTCCTTGAAACTCCTCCGGAGACCCCCTCTTCACTGTCTGCCACCACAGCAAGTTGCTGGCTATGGCGGCAGACTTGCAGGTTCGCTACCAAGCTGGGCTGTGTGTGTCTATAGTTACACACAGCCTGACTCATTCTCCCTGCTCTCTGTTTACAATATTTGATTGACAGAAGCAGGAGCCAATTGCTCCCATTGCTGCCTCTCTGTCCTTTGAATGCAGGAGGAGAGGAGAAAGCTGCTACAGATGGTCACAGCACAGGACTCAGATAAGTATTTAGAAGTGTAAGGGGGCAATACGGCTACTGGGACATTTTCTTATCCTAATGCAAGGAATGCATTAAGATAAAAAAATGTCTTGCCTTTAGAACAACTTTAATGACTGTAGTCAAATTATCATTAAATGAAACACTACTGGCTGTAGCAGCCAGATGTTTGGGGTAATGAACAGGTCAAATCTGACAATTTAGTTCACCTATTTTATGAACCTCAAACAGCTAGAGGGAAGTTCATCCCTAATAATAATAATGGTGCTATGATGATAATAATTTTTAATAATTTTTTGCTACTGTTATCTCATATAAATAATAATATATTATATGATCGTCTTTTAAAAGTGGAAATTTTAAACTTCCTAATAACATATTTAATATTTTTATGGACAGCACACCAATACACAAGAAACATGAAACTTTCATTTGTTGTAGGCCTTACTCAGACCAGCTTTTAAAGAGTTACTGGCAGGCACGAGCATCTTTGTTGCCAAAAGGTGGAAGTGAAAGATGTACTGCTATATTTCATTTATAAATAAAATAATTGTAAGCATTATTTAAAATCTGGTGGCTCATGAAAATTTGCATATTTATGTTGTCAGTTTTTTCTTCTAACTAAAAAGTAATTTGGACTCTGTCCAAGCTGTCTGACTTTTCATATGTCATTACATTCATAAATTAGGGGAAGAAAAATTATCATTAAGTATCCTTGGTTGTACATGATGAGTTCTATCCTACTCATTAGGAAAAGCACACATAGGCAGGTTTCAGTGGGATATTTCTACTGATTAATTTCAATAAAATCAACTCAATGACACATTGATTTTTATTATGTTTTGTTTGCCTTTCTGTGCTTTCCAATATTATGTGTGTTTAATTTCAATTATCTGACCTTTTCAAATTCCAATATAATTATGTGTCTTACAATCCATTATCTCCTCTCTTAATCTTTTGTGTAGTATAATAACAATGCCAAAGATTACCTTTAATTAATAGCTTTTAAAGTGGTATTTTAGAGCATGTATGACTTTAAAATGAAAAAAAAAAAACACTACTAAAATAACATTTGTTTAGAAAAAAAGACTACTAGTTGGCATTACTAAATACAAAAACTTCTGTAGGTGCAACTGAATTTGCAGCAATGTATATACATAGGGGTTAATTTAGTATAGGCAAATAGGCTATTCATTTTGCAGAGGGGTTTTCCCTTTGCAAGGAAATTTTCATTCAAAATCTCAAAGTTCACTTTGCAAAGAATGCACAATCATGTGCAAAGAAAATAAAAAAGACATTTTGCTTACACATGGTTGGATGATGAAAGTCATGTCATGTGCCAGGCTAAATGAAAATTCCCTTGCAAAGTGAACAGCTTATTTGTATATTTAATACAAATCATTGTGTTAACAGTAACAATGTATTAAAGGGAGTCTGTGCTAAACAGATAACATATTAGAGTCTCTGCAAGTGCATTTTCTTGTGCTTTTCAGAGTGCCCTGGGAGGCATAAAACTAGTTTAAGAGAAGAATGTTCCATTTTTTACCCCCTAAGTTGGTTGTGTGGTTCTGTAAACAACATCTTACTGTGCTAAGCCCTTACTGTATAAGCTAGAAATAGTAATGCATGCAAGGATATGAAAGGTAGATAACAATGTGTGTAGATTTGCCTGCTTTGATGCTCTAAACTAACAGCTGGGAAAATATTAGTCAGTAATTATGTTTAATATGTATACTGGGTGAAAAAACCCAAAGGGCAGCAACTCATAAATCCCAATCACAATTCACCTTTCTCTACACTTGCTGTGCTGTAATTGTAATGCACTGTAATGTGCTGTATTTTGAACTTAATTCTTTGCTACCTATACACTTTTACTGTGTGTTCTACAAAGACCAAAACACTTAATGGGAACAAATCACCAGGACCAGTTAGCTTACACCCAAGAGTTCTCAAAGAAGTTAGCCAGGTCATTGCTAGACTGCTATTCTTAATCTTTAAGGAAAGCTTACTGCCTGGAATGATACCAGTGGATTGTCAAAATGCTAATATGATACCAATATTCAAGAATGGGTCAAGATACCTACCTGGAAACTACAGACCAGTCAGCCTAACATCAATAGTTTGTATACTATAGGAGGAGATGATAATGGACTATGTCCAATAATTTTCTTATCAGAATGGTGTCATTAGTGATAACCAGCATGAATTTATGAAAGATTGTTCTTGCCAGACCAACCTATTAACATTCTATGTAGACATGAGCTGTAATCTAGATAAAGGAAGGTTTGTGGATGTAGTGTATCTAGATTTTGCCATTTGATACGGTTCCCCATAAATGCTTAATCCATAAATTAAGGTTTGTTGGCATTGATGATAATGTATGTACATGGGCAGAAAACTAATTACATGGGTGTGTCCAGAGGGTGGTGATAAAAAGCATAAAGTCTGAATGGTCTGGAGTTATAAGTGGGGTACCTCAGAGCTCTGCCCTGGGTCCAATCTTGTTTAAATTGTTCATAAAGAATAATATAGAGGATACATAGTTCAATCCCAGTGTTTTCTGATGACACAATGCTACACAGAGCAATTACTTCACAACAGGATATAGCAACTTTACAGGAAGACTTAGATAAAATAGACGAGTGGGTAAATACATGGCTAATGAGGTTCAATGTCGGGAAATGTAAAGCAATGCACTTGGATCCTAAAAATATGAATGCAGGCTACACACTAGTGGGAGAACCTCTTGGAATCCAGGATGTAAAAATATCCAGGGGTCCTAGTTGATGTCAGACTCAGAAATAGCATACAATGCCAAGCTGCAGCAAGAAAGACCAGTATAATATTAGCATGCATTAAAAATGGTTGCTTTACTTGAGGGATAAAACTATAATTCTGCCATTTAACAAAACTTTGGTGCAGCTGCATCTCGAGTATACAGTCTAGTTCTGGTCACCAGTCCTGAGGAAGGATATGCTGAAACTGGAGAGATTCCAGAGAAGGGCAACACAACTAATAAGGGGACTGAAGGAACTCAGTTATGAAGAACAATAACAAACATTAAAGGGATAGTTCACCTTTACCAGAAAACTGCCTATGCAGATAAGGGGTGTCTGTAGATAAAAACAAACTCTGTAGCTCAGACTAAAGTTGAATAATGTCCTTGCTATAGGCGTAGGCCATTTACTTACCTCATGAAACTTGACTGGAATACTCCAAGGGCATTGCTAAGAACTTCTAGGATGTTGCTAAGCAAGGCCTAGTCATTTACTGCTCACCTCCTCCATTACAGGAGTGAGCTCAGATACACTGAGCTCAGAGCAACTACATCAGGGGGGAGAGAGAGCATGTGAGGGGGTCTTAACCAGAGAAAAAGCTCACTCCTGTGATGGTGGAGGTGAGCAGTAAATGACTAGGCCTTGCTTAGTAACATCCTAGAAGTACTTAGCAATACCCTAGGAGACATCATTGTCCAGTTTCACAAGGAATCTCTGCGGATGTTTACGCGCAACACAGCCTCGATTGACTTTAGAGGGGAAAACATTCAAATTTATAGTGATTTGTCCCCTATCACATTGTCTAAGAGATGTACACTTCGTCAGCTTACTCTTCATCTTCAGAAACATTGCATTATATACAGATGGGGCTTTCCATTCCAGTTAACCGTAACCAAAGATGAAACTCAACACTCAATCAGAGATCTTCAAGAAGGAGAGGCATTTCTACATAACTTAGGCCAGCCCCCTCTCCCAAACGAACCTTTAGCACTAGCACTACCCAAGCCAAGAGCGGTCAACAATCCTAACAAGATGTGGACCCCCGGCAAGATCCATAAACAGGACATGCCTCTCGATTCCTCAGCAGTCTCCTGCATCTCAGCTATCTTCTAATACCTGATGACATCATGCAATTCACAGCTGCTTCTACTTAAGACTCAATGTCTGTAGACATGTCTTGCCCATCAATTTGATATCCTTTTTGGGATAAATCAGATATCCTATCTGGATGTTACCCTGTTATTTGCAGTTTAATTTGGAAGAGAGGAGTGAAGTTACTGCCTGGCCTTCATCCTCCCAATGTCATCCCCAAACATTTACAGCTATTGCTGTAGATGC